CCTTGCCTGGAAATTATAGACCTGTGAGCTTAACTTCTGTGGCTGGTAAAATATTTGAAAGGTTATTAAGGGATAATATTCAAGAATTCCTTGAGAAGAACATGGTTATCAGCAAAAATCAGCATGGTTTTATGAAGCACAGGTCATGTCAAACGAACTTTATTGCGTTCTACGAAGAAGTAAGTAGAAGTATAGATCAGGGTGTTGCCGTGGATATGATCTATTTGGATTTTGCCAAGGCATTTGATACAGTTCCACACAATAGATTAGTGTTCAAACTCAAGGAAATCGGTCAAGATGAAAATGCTTGTTCTTGGGTAGAACATTGGCTTAAAAACCGAGTACAAAGAGTTGTCATTAATGGTACATTTTCAAGCTGGACACAGGTGGCAAGTGGTGTCCCTCAGGGGTCTGTTCTGGGACCCCTTCTATTTAACATGTTTATAAATGATCTTGAAGACCGCATTGAAAGTCATGTTTCAGTGTTTGCAGATGACACCAAACTTTGTAAAACAATACAATGTGAGCAAGATATTACTTTGCTGCAGAGGGATTTAGATAGACTGGGGGACTGGGCACTCAAATGGTAGATGAAATTTAATGTTGAAAAATGCAAAGTTATGCACTTCGGCGTAAAGAATACACAAGCAACGTATACCCTTAATGGAAGCGAATTAGGGATAACAACACATGAAAAGGACTTGGGAATTGTTATAGACAACAAACTATGCAACAATGTGCATTGTCAATCAGCAGTGGCCAAGGCCAGTAAGGTATTGTCATGCATGAAAAAGGGCATTCATTCTCGGACAAGAATATAATTTTGCCTCTTTATAAATCACTGGTAAGACCTCATATTGAATATGCTGTGCAATTTTGGGCACCTGTTCTAAAGAAGGATATTATGGCACTAGAAAAAGTGCAGAGGCGGGCTACAAAATTAATAAAAAGGAATGGAACATATCGCTATGAAGAAAGGTTAACAAATTTAAACCTATTTAGTTTAGAAAAACGTCGCCTGAGAGGGGATATGATAACATTATACAAATATATTCGGGGCCAATACAAACCATTGTGTGGAAATCTATTCACAAACCAGACTTTACATAGGACACGAGACCATGAGTTTAGACTGGAAGAAAGAAGATTTCGTCTAAGGCAAAGGAAAGGTTTTTTACTGTAAGAACAATCAGGATGTGGAATTCTCTGCCTGAAGAAGTGGTTTTATCAGAGTCCATACAGATGTTTAAACGGCTACTAGATGCATACTTGCAAGAACAGAATATTCAAGGATATAATCTTTCAATGTAGGGTAATAACTGCTTGATCCAAGGATAAATCTGACTGCCATTCTGGGGTCAAGAAGGAATTTTTTTCCTAGCTTGTTGCAAAATTGTGCTTCTAACTGGGTTTTTTTGCCTTCTTTTGGATCAACAGCAAAAAACAAATGTGAGGTAGGCTGAACTTGATGGACGCAAGTCTCTTTTCAGCTAAGTAACTATGTAACTATGTAACTATGTAACCTACAGTTAAGCATGGTGGTGGCTCGGTGATGCTCTACGGCTGCTTTGCATCTTCTGGCACTGGAAACCTGCAGTGTGTGGAAGGCAAGATGGATTCATTGAAGTATCAGGAAATCCTATTAGAAAATGTCATGTGTCTGTGAGGAAGCTGAAGCTTGGGTGTCATTAGACCTTCCAACAAGACAATGATCTCAAGCATTCGTCAATTTCCATCAAGACTTGGTTGCAGAAGAAGTTCTGGAAAATTCTACAGTGTCCTTCACAGTTACCTTACTTGAACCCCATAGAAAATTTCTGGTGTGATTAGAAGAAGGCAGTTGCAGCACGCAAACCCATGAATATTACTGAACTGGAGGCCATTGCTCATGGAACACTGTCAAAAGTTGGTGTCTGGCTATGCATCTTGTTTGCAGCAGCTCATAACATGATAATAATAATAAGATTCTTGCCATGAAGGGTGTAACGGATCACCTGGCACCCCGACTGGGTACCTCCGTTGAAGGATGCTCCTAGCGCTTCCTGAGGACTCCAAGCAGTGCAGCAGACACCACAACCACCGAATCGGAGAAGCATATGAATTCTCTCAAGCATATGAATGCTGTAAGCAGCTGAACAGGAAAAGCATACAATCAGCTTACACTCCTGGCAATCAGCATACAATCCAATTCCCCCAATAACGAGACGACACTTCGTTTTGAGGCCAAACAGAACTGACTGTACTGGCACATACAGCCTCTTTTATTCACAATCCACAAACATTTGGAAGATGCAGTTTAATGCAGATTCCGCAGAACATATACAGGCTATATGAAAAATAGTTAATGTTAAATGTGTCCCCTGTTGTATAGTTTAAAACTACTGAACGATGTCTTTGTGCACCAAATACCGGCGAGATGGCATTGTGTAGAAAAGTCTAAACAGTGTCTGTGAGTTAAAATGGCCGCCATCCATTGTTCTCACCATGTGCTTCATCCATTGTTCTCACCATGTGCCTCTGATACATGAAATGGTGGCCACCCAGTAACTCCACAGGATGTCCCCAGATGGTTCTTAAAGGGCCAGCAGCAGCATAATAAAATACAATATGCCCAAATACTGTATTTAAAGGGCCACATCTCCCAGGGCCATAGTCAGCAGGCAGGAGGCGGGCAAACAGGCTTCTCCAATGCCCAGTGGCGAGGTTGGTTTCGCCACAAAGGGGTTGAATAATATTTAGACTGGAGAAGTCATTATAAGTTGCATTTTTAATTGAATTTGGGGAAACCACTTGAAATATTGATTGTGTTGGGCTATTTCAATTGCTTTTGTTTGATGTGTTTATTGCAAACAGCTGGAAGTCTTTAAATTTTGACAAAAACCTGATTTTCAATGGAGGTTGAATAACTTAGTTTCTCTCTATCCAACGTAACAAAGTAACATATAGGATTATTAATTAAAAAAAAATGTTTTTACTAACATCAATTTCAAAAAGATAATTCAGGGCCTTTTGGCATTCTCAATTTAACTTAAAATACAACCAAATGTGTTACAAAAGGTAACTAAGAACCCCCCACCCCCACAATTAATTCAAATATTAGATGCCGTTGTACCTTGTACTGCTTTGCCAATCACCAAGCAGCAATGGTTGTAAAGATAGAACATATATAATACGACTTGTTTTAGTAACATAAGAAATGTCTAACGTAGCCAGTTGGCTCATTGTTCATCATTTGTTTCCCAGCAAGAAAAATAGATACTTTTTAGAACAGTGCAGGCCTTAGCTCATTGACTGAGTGCCTTACCTGTTTGATTTTAGCCAATGAGCCAAGGCCAGCACTACTTAGGAACTTCTAGCTCTTCTACATTAGTTGTCAAACTGTTTAAAAATGCTTTAACTCCTTACACTTGGGTGGAGGGGGGATACCAGGGTAGTCCTAGCTCCATAAACACAATCTGCAGTGGTTATGGTGGTTGAAGCGTTTCTTTAAAACAAAGGCAAGGTTACAGCCCAGATGAGTATTCATGGCACCCACTGCTTTTATCTCGTATCCCGGAGAAAGCCATTGTTGTGCTATGTTTGGGGACCTGTTTACTTTTTAATGTTACAGAGATCATTTCGCTAACTGGCAGGTTTGTTTACTTAATCGCCACGACAGCTATTATTTCTGCTGGTACATACGCATGTATTACATTAAGTGTACATCTCAGTGCTCATAAAATTATTTAAAACAAACCTCACATCCGTTTCTACAATAAATGTCTAGTTTCTTTTTATTTATTTATTTTAATGGCAGTTTTCCATTAAGTGGCCTTTTAACCTTCCCTTCATTTGACTTGCCGTCATAAAACACATTTTACGAGCATTGCATTGCTCGTGGTAAAACCCACAGATGGAATGTAGATTCATTGAACTCAGAAGGAGACGAAAGCATCGGCATGAATTAAATAGGAGCCCATATGGTGTGCGGCTCCCGTGTAGCACTCCAGAACTCTGATACAAATTACAACTGAAGTAATGAAGCAATTGAGTCGGCTTTTTCAATTAATGTTTAACATTCAGATGAATTGAAATAATGGCAATAAAGGAACGGCAAGAACAACATTAAAATATGTATCTTTTCTTCTAATCTCTCCTCTTTGAAATTAGACCATTTTCGAATCCAGTACAAATTCCAGCAAATTAATTTTCACTTATCTTGTTAATTTTTTAAATTTATTACTGTATGTTATTTATACATTATGATTTGTAAATGGCACACATTTACTACTATACAATAAATCATGCCGATTTATTGTCTGTGAAACAAATTGATCCCAAAAAGGTTATAACTCCTTATATAACAAGGGGGTGGGGGCGGGGGCGGGGGCAAAATAAAAAGAAATATGCAACTGTAGGAGCAGCCAGGAAATAAAGTGTGAATAATGTGTATAGGTAATAGACTTGGACATTCACTCTGTTCATCCAAAAATATACCCTATTGGCTCCCTCCTTAATATTTAACAATAGAAGTGGCAGGTAGCTGTGTGTGTGGGGAGATAAATCTCCCTATGCCCACCCCTCATCCCATGAGGGTCAATATGTCCCCATATTAGAACATGTGAGGTTAAATACTCCATCATGACCATGGATTGGGGCTCTTAAATAAATAGAATGGGGGACATGGCGATTACGGCCCTAAATAACATTGGAAAGACCTATAGTTCCCCTCCTGCTTCCCCATTGATCCTACACTCACTGCAGCCCCCCACACCTCCTATAACACAAACTACCTGAGCAGCACGCTCACTGCAGCTCCCCACACCTCCTATAACACACACTACCTGAGCAGCACACTCACTGCAGCTCCCCACACCTCCCATAACACACACTACCTGAGCAGCACGCTCACTGCAGCTCCCCACACCTCCTATAACACACACTACCTGAGCTCTCCAAAACTCCTACAACACACAATACCTGAGCACCACACCCACTGGAGCCCCCCACACCTCCTATAACCCACATTACCTGAGCAGCACACTCACTGCAGCTCCCCACACCTCCTATAACCCACACTACCTGAGCAGCACGCTCACTGCAGCTCCCCACACCTCCTATAACACACACTACCTGAGCACACCTCCTGCAGCTCCCCACACCTCCTATAACACACACTACCTGAGCAGCACTCACTGCAGCTCCCCACACCTCCTATAACCCACACTACCTGAGCAGCACACTCACTGCAGCTCCCCACACCTCCTATAACACACACTACCTGAGCAAAACTCCTATAACTCCAACACTACCTGAGCTGGAGTTCACACACCTCCTATAACACACACACTACCTGGCAGCCCCCCTGCAGCTCATACACCTCCTATAACACACACTACCTGAGCAGCACACTCACTGCAGCTCCCCACACCTCCTATAACCCACACTACCTGAGCAGCACCCTCACTGCAGCTCCCACACCTCCTATAACCCACACTACCTGAGCAGCACACCTCACTGCAGCTCCCCACACCTCCTATAACCACACACTACCTGAGCAACACACTCACAGCAGCTCCCCACTCCTCCTATAACCCACACTACCTGAGCAGCACACTCACTGCAGCTCCCCACACCTCCTATAACACACACTACCTGAGCAGCACGCTCACTGCAGCTCCCCACACCTCACTGCAGCTCCCCACACCTCCTATAACACACTACCTGAGCAGCACGCTCACTGCAGCTCCCCACACCTCCTATAACCCACACTACCTGAGCAGCACACTCACTGCAGCTCCCCACACCTCCTATAACCCACACTACCTGAGCAGCACACTCACTGCAGCTCCCCACACCTCGTATAACTATTTATTAAATTGTCCCAAGATCTCACAGCCTAATGCAAAGTGAATGGTTTATGTCAAACCCCTGTTAGAGCAGACTAAGCATGCTTGAGAGGTCAACACCAAGAAAACAGTTCCAAAATATTTCAGTTTTAGTTCTTCAGATAAGTTTCAGCCAGGAAACTGTAGAACTAATTTGGACAAACTAAATATTAAATATACCAGCCCAACAGAAAAAAAGAGAATACATAATAACATCACAAACACTGGCCTTTGTCACAAAAATCAATATAAATATAAAACAATATAAATATATAGAAATTTAAAGCAGTGTACCACAACAAAGCATAAAAAAACCAGATGGTGACTCACTAAACTATAAATTAGAAATAATAAAAATAATAAGTGGTCGCACCAAGAACATGTCATGCGATATTTTATTAGCAGTGATAAAAACTTAAAAATATGAAATAAAAGTTCAAAAAAAAAATATATAAAACTCTTGTATGATCTGGATATTCTACTCCAGGTACTTTTAGTTGTAATTATTTTCCAAACATATTGTTAGTGTTGCCTAGTCTCGTGTGTCTCAGGTTTCGTCTCACTGATATGCTGTGGCCAACAGATTTACTTTTACTACTTCGTTTGTAGTGTACTTGCTATCTTGTCCCTGTGGGCTACAGTATGCTGGCTATACGACAAGGCACTTGAAAAAGCGTTGCTTGGAACATCGTGCGTCTATTAAGAATAGAAACGGCAAAACATCCATGTTACATTTCCGGACATGTCTTGACAGTGATCCTACAGGTCTTAAGATACCTCCAGATACCTCCAGATATAGATGCCCAATCCTGAATTTCAAAGCTGCTCAGAGCTGAGGCATGCTGGATACAGGTAGCAGGATATAAAAAAAAAAAAAGGGACTAATTTGAGGAAGCCCAATCTGGGTGAAACACGTCAAGTAGTACTGGAGCACTTTATTCCTTTATTACTTTTGTTTTGTATTCTATATGTACTCTCCCAATCTATGAGACAGAAAGACTATTACCAAACAAATCAACTCTTCTGTAAAATCTCCACGCACGCGGCTGCTACCGTACAGAGAGAAAAAAATATCTAGATGAGTGCCCCTTGTGGTCACCTACTACCAATGTAAATACGGAAAATCATTAAAGACCCACAACCAATGTTAACAGAAGATGAGACTCTGAAAAACATTTTCTCTGAAACACCCATTTTGGCCTTCAGACAACCACCAAACCTCCAACAAAAATTAATCAACAGGAAGCTGCCCACTGATGGTAAGAATAAAGAAAATGGGACCAGTCAATGCAAAAAACCTCGGTGCAAACTGTGTCAGCACATATGCACAGACAACACAGCCACACACAACAATAAAACCTACAGCATTAAAGGTTCATACTCCTGCACATGCAATGTGGTATACATGATTCAATGCACCAAAAGCCACCTAGGATGTTACATTGGGGAAACCACCCAGCCATTAAATGGCAGAATGAATATGCACAGACACTCCATTAAAAACCACAGAGAAGGATCGTACTGCACTCCTGTGGGACACCACTTTACCCAGCCTGGCCACTCAATGAAGGACCTAAAAATCAAAGTACTGAAAGGGGGTTTTAAAAATACCCAAGAAAGAAAAACAATTTTTGAAGCCAGAATGATCAAATTGTTTAACAGCGAGAATAGAGGACTAAATATAGAATATATTGGGAACCTTAGCTTTAGGTCTTCTCAAAGACATGCAGATAATGATTATTTTTCTTCTTATTTGGTATAATTTTATTAGTTTTGTTTGGCATAACTTTATACCCAGTGTGTATGTTTTGTTACACTTTATCTTATTGTTATAATCATACCGTTAGTTTTTTTTTTTTATCATTATTGGTTAGATATTTGTATTAAGTTTTAAAACTACTTTGTTTATTATTAACTTATCAATGGGGTCAAGTGTCTGATGATCAAATAATGAATACACTGTATATGTGCCTTTTAATTGGAAAGTCTTTCTGCTTTTAATCGTGAGAACCTATATTCATATTCTTCACAATCGCCTTGAGAATGGCTAGATTGGATGGAATGCGTAGACGTTTGGCAGTAACGTATGCAGAGGGCATTTTGTTTCATGTGTGGAGCACATTTGGATCTGGTGAAACAGTAGCCATAGTCTTCACAGAGCGTGCAGGGCGATCTTTTGGGTTAGATATCTCCATTTATGACTATTTCACTAATATCCCAAGTCACTGGCAAAACTACCTTGAGTGTTGGTACAGCATTGCATCTTTTCTGCTGGAAGAACTCCAGTATTGTACAAGCATACCCGAGGCTGAGCGAATGCACATCACGATGTTATGCTCATTACCATGCCGATACATTTTTATTTTATTTATTTAAAATAATGTATACAGTAAATAGGGGTGCTAAAAGGCATTCAAAAGGGTTATAAAAAATAGGGGGAAAAACACAGTGTCACAGTGTAAAAAGTGAAACAAAAATATATAAATATATAACACACTTAAGTGCCTAACACCATTTAGGGAAGAGAATATAAAGTGGAGAGCAAAAAGAAAGAGTACATTCTAAAATAGATAAGGAATTAGAAAAGTGTACTAATGGCATTTTTATCCCTTAGTCTTGTGCTATATCTTAATGTATATTTTGTGTGTTTTTTAGTGTTAATAAATTGTGATCAATTTTACGTAATACACACCTCTTTGGTCTTGATATTATCACCTAATGTAAAATTTTATGAGAGTGATATTATTATTATTATTATGATATTTATAGAGCGCCGTCAAATTCCGCAGCGCTTTACAATAGGTGGACGAACAGACATGTAGTTGTAACCAGACAAATTGGACACACAGGAACAGAGGGGTTGAGGGCCCTGCTCAGTGAGTTTACATGTTAGAGGGAGTGGGGTATAGTGACACAGTAACAGAGGGATTGAGGGCCCTGCTCAGTGAGTTTACATGTTAGAGGGAGTGGGGTATAGTGACACAGTAACAGAGGGATTGAGGGCCCTGCTCAGTGAGTTTACATGTTAGAGGGAGTGGGGTATAGTGACACAGTAACAGAGGGATTGAGGGCCTGCTCAGTGAGTTTACATGTTAGAGGGAGTGGGGTATAATGACACAGTAACAGAGGGATTGAGGGCCCTGCTCAGTGAGATTACATGTTAGAGGGAGTGGGGTATAGTGACACAGTAACAGAGGGATTGGGGGCCCTGCTCAGTGAGTTTACATGTTAGAGGGAGTGGGGTATAGTGACACAGTAACAGAGGGATTGAGGGGCCTGCTCAGTGAGTTTACATGTTAGAGGGAGTGGGGTATAGTGACACAGTAACAGAGGGATTGAGGGCCCTGCTCAGTGAGTTTACATGTTAGAGGGAGTGGGGTATAGTGACACAGTAACAGAAGGATTGAGGGTCCTGCTCAGTGAGTTTACATGTTAGAGGGAGTGGGGTATAGTGACACAGTAACAGCCCTGCTCAGTGAGTTTACATGTTAGAGGGAGTGGGGTATAGTGATACAGTAACAGAGGGATTGAGGACCCTGCTCAGTGAGTTTACATGCTAGAGGGAGTGGGGTATAGTGACAGTAAGAGAGGGATTGAGGGCCCTGCTCAGTGAGTTTACATGTGAGAGGGAGTGGGGTATAGTGACACAGTAACAGAGGGATTGAGGGCCCTGCCCAGTGAGCTTACATGTTAGAGGGAGTGGGGTATAGTGACACAGTAACAGAGGGATTGAGGGCCTGCCCAGTGAGTTTACATGCTAGAGGGAGTGGGGTATAGTGACACAGTAACAGAGGGATTGAGGGCCCTGCTCAGTGAGTTTACATGTTAGAGGGAGTGGGGTATAGTGACACAGTAACAGAGGGATTGAGGTCCTGCTCAGTGAGTTTACATGTTAGAGGGAGTGGGGTAAAGTGACACAGTAACAGGGGGATTGAGGGCCCTGCTCAGTGAGTTTACATGTTAGGAGTGGAGTGGGCAGTGATGCAATAGAGGGATTGAGGGCCTGCTCAGTGAGTTTACATGTTAGAGGGAGCGGGGTATAGTGACACAGCAACAGAGGGATTGAGGGCCTGCTCAGTGAGTTTACATGCTAGAGGGAGTGGGGTATAGTGACACAGTAACAGAGGGATTGAGGGTCCTGCTCAGTGAGTTTACATGTTAGAGGGAGTGGGGCATAGTGACAGTAACAGAGGGACTGAGGCCCTGCTCAGTGAGTTTACATGTTAGAGGGAGTGGGGTATAGTGACAGTAACAGAGGGATTGAGGCCCTGCTCAGTGAGTTTACATGTTAGAGGGAGTGGGGTATAGTGACACAGTAACAGAGGGATTCAGGCCCTGCTCAGTGAGTTTACATGTTAGAGGGAGTGGGGTATAGTGACACAGTAACAGAGGGATTGAGGGCCTGCTCAGTGAGCTTACATGTTAGAAGGAGTGGGGTATAGGTGACACAGTAACAGAGGGGTTGAGGGCCTGCTCACTGAGTTTACATGTTAGAGGGAGTGGGGTATAGTGACACAGTAACAGAGGGATTGAGGGCCTGCTCAGTGAGTTTACATGTTAGAGGGAGTGGGGTATAGTGACAAAGTAACAGAGGGATTGAGGCCCTGCTCAGTGAGTTTACATGTTATAGGGAGTGGGGTATAGTGACACAGTAACAGAGGGATTGAGGGTCCTGCTCAGTGAGTTTACATGTTAGAGGGAGTGGAGTATAGTGACACAGTAACAGAGGAAATAATGGCCCTGCTCAGTGAGTTTATATGCTAGAGGGAGTGGGGTATAGTGACACAGTAACAGAGAGATTGAGGGTCCTGCTCAGTGAGTTTACATGTTAGAGGGAGTGGGGTATAGTGACAGTAACAGAGGGATCGAGGGCCCTGCTCAGTGAGTTTACATGTTAGAGGGAGTGGTTTATAGTGACACAGTAACAGAGGGATTGAGGGCCTGCTCAG